ACTCATTCACCACCCATTTTCCCACATGTCCTTATCTATCAATATGGGCCAAAGATGTGGTGGAGGTTAACATGTTTTTTACTCAAAAGCTGACACTTTGCTAGGGTGATAAGGAGGCCTCTTCTACAAAGCTCTCACGTGTGGCTGTTCAACAACATCTACCCTCTGTCAAAAAGCCTGTCAGATACTAGAGCAACTGGAGACAGACATACCAGAACTATGCACACTCCTGTTACACACTCATGGAAGCAAACTTTTTCAACACCAATATAAATTGCCAGTATGGAAAGAGGACAAAGAACATGGGTATTATCTGCAAATGTGGAGGCATTAAGAATCACATCTGTGAAGTAAAAATTGAGCATTTTTAGTTTTCAGATCACTTAGTTCTGCTATACATGCAAATCTTCTCAGACTGCTGATTTAGTATTATGAGTAGGAAAAACTCAAAGTTGACAATATAAAAAAAAATTCTCTTCTATGACCAAACAACCACTTTGTCAATATTTTATGAAGATGGATCTATTTTTAAGGTAATTACACAATATAGTGAGGTTAGGCACATTGATTCTTCATTTAAAACAACAACAAAGAAAAATCAATTTAAAAAATCAAGTACTGAGCAGGCACTCTTAGACATGAAGGCTTTGTGTGTTCCCCCAAGCACACCCACAATTCTCTAACATACCATCTCACAAATGCAGTGTATTGTCAAGAGGAGGCGGGTTCTGCCAGGCACATAATTTGTATATTTAAGGGAGGGCTAAGGAATGAAAAAGCAAAATATGTTAAATTTCAAAGGATTTGGAAGCAATGCTGTCTGTGCTCTTGTATCACAAATAGCCCTACATTATTACATACACTATTAATGAGGCAGAGTGAATGAAAGCACAATTTGAATATGCATGACTCTATGCAATGAGCAGGACTTTTGTGTACCATAGGCCCCCTTCTTACTCCTAAAAAAAGGACTAAAATGATTCTGTGAGCAGTATGGCAACCCAGAGAACACCAGGAATAAATATACTCACACTAGAGTCACACTATAATTTGACGAAATATACAGGTGCTAAGAGTGCCTTTGACATTACCTACAATTTCTGAAACTTGTTCATGTCCTTGCCCCTCCTAAACAGCGATATTCTTCAACTCTAAGCAGCTGCTTCATTATAATATCTAAGCAAAAATAATGATTTTGGTGGAGATCCCTAAAAGTAACCAAGGTTAAAGAAATCTTTTGAGTACAAAGCCCTCATTTCTATAGTAAGGAACACTAGTTAAAAGACTACGGAATGGGTAAATTATTGCACCAAATGGCCGAGAATGAATCTCTGCTGACTAGCTGCAATCTAACGAGGCGTCTGTGTCCCAGGGAGCCCACAACGTGTCCCTGGCGGTATGTGCAGTGTGTCGAGTCTGCGTGGTACCCTTTGTCCTCACTCACAGGCGGCCTTGCCTCTCATTGTCCACAATAACCTCATGCATCTGGGACGCGTGGAATGCATTCACACTAACAGACTTACCATTGTTTTCTCGCAGAAGCTTTGTTGAGCAAAGACTGCATCACGGTTACTGATAATTATATTGCTTAATTAATCAAGACAAAAAAAATTTGCAAATCATTGCCTGGTTGCCAAGCAGGGAGATAAAAAATGACAACACAAGCTGAAGCAATATAACAAAAGTAACAGCTATCTGATCAGAAATTCTTATATAATGAAGCTATTAATGCTAAATCGGTTAATGTTAACATTGCTCCAGGTGTCTCTACTTAGATGCAAACAAAAAGGCTAACATTATGGATATAAAAGGCCAAATGTTGCCATGGATTCTGTAACCTGATAGAGAGGACAGCCTTTTCATTTGATTAGGGAATGCAATTTAAATACCAGGGACTGAAGCCAAACAAACAGACTTTCCCTCCACAAGCCCTCTGCATTCACCCTGGGGTCAGTGGTTGGTGAACAAAAGGTCAGCCACACTTGCCCTGGAAATGTCTGGATTAATTTTATTACAATGTAATGGCTTGTGCTTTAAATGTAAGGATAACACTAAATTTCCAGTTGGCCATTATGCTCTTTTTTCCTTTCAACTTTTAAAATTAAAACATTAAGAAATTGATTTTGCTTAACTTATCTTGTCAGAATTTATTACCAAATTTAAAAAACTATATTTTATGAGGAAAATTTAAAAGATATGTTCATGTTTATTTTCATGTATAAGTGTGCTATTATTTTTAGAAAATTTTTTATACTATAATTGAATAGAAATAGTTTTTATGCTTGATAGTCACTTTAAAAATACAGATGAGATTTTTTATGTCATTAAATGACCTTTTTTAAGACCATGTTCATAATAAAGGTAAATATTAAACCCATTTAATTTACACTATTAGATTAACTATCAAAGAAACACAGTTTGTAGTTTTAAAATCTACAAAGTATTAAATTTTTAAAAAAATTTTTATTATTAATTTCAATGAAAATTTACAGAGACTTTGGATTTCCTTTCATTCATTGTTGATGTCATTAAATGACCTTTTTTAAGACCATGTTCATAATAAAGGTAAATATTAAACCCATTTAATTTACACTATTAGATTAACTATCAAAGAAAC